AGGACAATATCAGATGAAAAGATTACCCATGGGACTTAAGACCAGCCTTAGTGCTTTCAGTCATGTAATGTCCGTAGCTATGTCTGGACTCAATTTTGAACAGTGCTTTATTTATTTAGATGATTTAATAGTTTTTGGACGATCGTTAAATATCCATAATTAACATTTAATTAACTTTTTAGAAAGACTTAGAAAAGTAAATTTAAAACTAAACCCAGAAAAGTGTAATTTCTTACAAAAAGAAATACTTTATTTAGGTCATCTAGTAACTGCGGATGGTGTACTACCTGATAATTAAAAAATAGAGGTTTTACAAAAATATCCAGAACCAAAAAATACAGATGAGGTGAAAAGATTTGTAGCTTTTTGTAACTATTATAGAAAATTCATTAACACTAGAAGGGCCATGGCCGTCAATTTGACGGCAAAATAATTTGATGGCTAATAACTTTTTGTCTGTATTTCAGTTTGTATTCATATTTAATGACTTTTCATAACTTATGATTGTATAAGTTTTAACTTAATAAAAATAAATAAATAATGATTGATATGCGGGGTATGCTTACTCATACCTAATAAGACCGGACGCCGTCAATTTGACGGCACTTGAATACTTTGAAGTGTTATAAACAAAAGTTTTGTTTCTACCTTCTTATCTTACCTATATATTTATATGTTGTGTTTATTGACATGACTTACAGTTTCAACTGATTATTTGAAGAGAATTGTCGTGTGTTTATTTTATAATGAGTTCCAATCGGCGTTCCAAACAGCTCTCGAGTTTAGAAATAGAACGAGAGTTATCGCAACTTTGTAATATTGTAGAAGATGACTCAGGTGATGAAAGTGGCAATGAATTATCAGTAACGCATTGTGATAACGAAGATGAAGACTTTCAGCTAGACCAAGAAAGTTCTACATCTGAGGATTCAGAAGCCGACATTCCAACTGAAAGTCATTTCGACAGTGAAACGCAGGACAGTAATTTACACAGCGAACGTGGTATACGTAGAAGTCGTGGCAGAAGACCTGGATCCAGCGGAAGAGCAGTGCATTCGGGAAGTATAACACGTGGTGGGAGGCAAGTCAGAACGTCATCATTACCCGAAATAGGTATGAGACAAGTGGCTAGTGATGGCACTGAATGGACGTGTATTCCTAGTTTTAGTGGTGGAACGACGGGCCGTCGAAGTCGGCAAAATGTACTGAGAGAAAACCCAGGTCCCACTCCATATGCAAAGCGGTATGTAGAATCCAAAAAAGTTATTACTTCTTGGCGTCTTTTTATTCAAGAATTTATATTACGACGCATAAAGTTGTGCACTGAAACTGAAGCACGTATCAAATGTCAAGATGAATCGTGGGAAATTTCTTTAGATGAATTAGATGCTTTCATTGGACTGATTTATGCACGTGGAGCTTACAACATGAGCCATTTAGACCTAGACATTTTATGGTCCTTAGAATGGGGTCCGCCAGTTTTCAAAAATACTATGAGTAAAAATAGATTCAAAGAAATAATAAAATATTTACGATTTGATTTGAGAAGCACGCGTAATACACGTTTATCTACTGACAAATTTGCAATGATTTCTGATATATGGAATAATTTTATAGAAAATTGCCAAATGTGTTATATTCCTGGTGAAAATATGACTGTTGATGAGCAGTTATTTCCATCGAAAACACGTTGCCCTTTTTTGCAATATATTGCGAACAAGCCTGATAAATTTGGAATAAAGTTTTGGTTATTAGTGGATGTTGAGAGCAAATATCTGTGTGGGGGTTTTCCTTATTTAGGAAAAGATAGTGAGCGCCTAAGTAATATGTCGTTACCAGAACATGTTGTTATGAAATTGTTACAACCTTACCTCAAAAAAGGTCGGAACGTTACAACGGATAATTTTTTCACATCTCTAAAATTGGCAGAAAAGCTTAGATCTGAAAGTACAAGTATTGTTGGAACAATGAGACGGGCAAGACGAGAAGTACCAGCGAATTGTAGAAACATTCGTACAAAGAGATATGAAACCTTTATACTGAAATCGGCAACAAACACAACCCTAACAATTTATCAAGGTAAACCTGGGAAAAATGTCATTGTATTGAGTACATTACACGAAAATATTCATATTGATGCTGAGTCAAAAAAAAAACTACCGGAGACTATACAATTTTATAACGAAACTAAGGTAGGCGTGGATATAATTGACCAAATGGCACGAAAATACACTGTAAGAGCTGGAACACGAAGATGGCCAGTCCACGTCTTCTATAATATTCTAGATTTGGCCGCCATAAATTCATGGATTATTTATCGCCAAGTTACAGGTGAAAACATTTCTCGTCATAATTATATTCTACAACTTGTAAGTGAACTTCGCGCAGAGTACGTGAATAAAAAACAAAGTGCATCAGCTTTTCAACGTTTGGATAACATAACTATTGAAGAAGAACAGCCTTCTACATCACAAAAAAGACGACAATGTCAAATTAATTCAAAATGTAAAAAGAACCGCACTTGTGACTTATGTACTATTTGCCAGAAAGCTGTTTGTGGTCAATGTGTAAAAAAAGTATTTAAAAAAATTATTTGTAATAAATGTTTTATGTAACTAATCAAAGTATTTAATTAAAAGCATTAATTAAAATTCGTAATTTTGTTTTTATGACACACATAGGTACATATTTCAATCATATTTTCTCCGTAATTATCATATACCGTCAATTTGACGGTCGCGGTCTTTGAAGGTATGCAATTTCCCCGACCCTTCTAGTGTTAACAATTTTGCCGAAATTACAGCACCATTGAATAGATTGACTAGAAAAAATGTACCATTCATATGGACTAACGATTGTAAGGTCTCATTCGAAAAATTAAAATCAGCATTATCTACGCCTCCAGTGCTGCAATTCCCAGATTTTTCTGATAACAATGAATTTATTATACAAACTGACGCCTCAGGAATAGCTGTAGGAGCCGTTTTGTGTAATAAAAATATGAAACCAATTGCATATGCTAGTCGACCTCTAAATAAAGCCGAAAGAAATTATCCCACGATACAAAAAGAATTAGTGGCAATAGTTTGGGCTGTAAAATATTTTAGACCGTATATTTATGGAAGGTTATTTTCAATAATGACTGACCATAAGCCGTTAGTTTATCTATTTTCACTAAAAGACCCTTCAAGCAGATTATTAAAATTTAGATTAGCACTTGAAGAATATAATTTTAAAATTTTATATGTAAAAGGTAAAGATAATAGCGTAGCTGACGTTTTGTCTAGAATTTGTATATCATCAGATACATTAAAAACTATGAATGAAGAGATAATAACGGTAATGACAAGAGCACAAAGAAAATGTTTGAATGGAAAAACAGACTCACACATTTTTAGTACATCTAACAACGTTAGGCCTGATCAACCAAGAGTAGTAGAATTACTAAAAATGCCAAATGATTCAGCAGAACTGACTTTTATCGGAAATGACGAACTAACTCGAGTTAAAACTTTGAAAAAGGTATACCTAGAATATAAATTTTTTATATATGACGAAAAGAAACGCGTTATGTATATAAATCTCAACTGGAAGGCGCATTTTACGCGAGTCGAATTTGTGACTGAGTTGATGAAATTTTGTAAAAGAATTTAAGTAAATAATGAACTATGCATAGTAAAAAATGAAAGAAATAATATATTTATAAAAGATTTGTTATGTGAGATAAAATCTCGAAAGGATTGGACCGGTCCACGAATATGTGTAATAAGAGGAGTTAAGAGAATTGAAAACGAAGAAGATAAACAATACATTTTAAATGACTATCATTTACTACCCACCAGTGGTCATGCAGGTGTGCGTAGGATGACAAATAATATAAAAAGGAATTTCTTTTGGTCAGGACTTGATAAAGACGTCAAAGAGTATATTAGCAAATGCTCGAAATGTCAAAAAATGAAACAAGGTAGGTATGTTAGGAGCCTATGGAAATAATGACGACAGCAACAAATGCTTTTGATAAGATATATCTTGACATTGTAGGTCCATAAAAAGAGATTTAGAAGATAATCGTTATATTTTGACTATTCAATGTGAGCTAACAAAATTTGTAGAGGCATATCCACTGAAAAATAAAGAAACCGAAAGTGTAGCTAAAGAACTAGTTAATAAGTTTATATTAAGGTTCGGTATACCAAATAGAATTGCAACGGATCGAGGAACAGAGTTTATTTCATCAGTAATGGAACAGGTATGTAAAATTTTAGAAATAGAAAAACTTACTTCAACTGCCTGTCATCATCAATTAATAGGAGCATTAGAGAACGCTCATTAAAATTTAGGATCGTTTTTAAGAACACAATGTAATGGTCAAAAAGATACATGGAGTGAATGGCTGCCATTTTGGTGTTACAGTTTTAACAACACTGTCCATACCGAAACAAAATATACTCCATTCGAACTTGTATTCGGGAAACCTAGTAAATTACCTTGTAGGATTAGTGAATGCATCGAACCTCTATATAACCCAGAAAGTTATCCTTTACATATGAAATATCGATTGCAAGTAGCGCAACAGGATGCTCGTAATAATTTAATATTAAGCAAAGAGAAACGTAAATTAACCTATGATAAAAATGTTAATCATATACATCCTTACAAATAAAAACCTGTTATACCATTTTTATTCCATACTTATACCTGGAATAGTTATACTTGGTATAAATCAGGTATAACTCAAGAATAATTTCTCACAAATAAACTCGGTTTATCATTGGCGTAACTATTCTTTATTTACGTCAAAAAACATGGTCTTTGTAGAAACCAAACGCAAAAAAAAAGCATTTTGTCTATGAAATTGTTGACGTTGACAGCTGTCAAGAGTCAAACTTGCCTATCTTCCGTCAAAATCTGGCTTGCTGAATTGAAAATAAAATTAATATCTATCCGAAACTTGTGAATTCTATAATTATTCTGTATTAAAATATCAGTTTTTCTACAATATGGCAAAGAGAGAGCGTTCGATCAACTGGGAGAAAGAAGAAAAGGTATGAATTGATACAAAATTTTGCTCTAATATCATGGGCCACGCAATGCGTGGTATTTTTATAATCAACAGCATCTTACTTATTATTTTTCTGTTTCATTGTAGCAATTGCTAAGGGAAATCATCAAACCTTACGCCAAAGTTATCGAAAATAAGGATATATCGACCAATACTAACCAAGCAAAGCTTAAAGCTTGGTCAGAAATAACCGAACAGTGAGTATCTACCTATGTACGTCTTGTGTTGTTTGTGTCAGGTTGTGCCCCCTTTTGTGCACTCCGACCGAACTTGCCTTCGTCCCAACTTCACCGATTCCATAATACTGAGATAAAATTGAACTCGTTTTAAGGTACTGTATCCACCAATCATATTATGAAGCTGTAAGCGTGGCTTAATGTCATGTAATATGATTGTCAGAGACGCAAGCTTAAACTGAGTTTATCTTTGATCTAAGTTTTACGGGATTGGTGAAATTGGGACTTATTGTAGTAGAAGTCGCTTTTCACTTTAGTTTCTCAAGGCATAACGCTTGCTTTGCTGCCAATACTACCTTAGGACTACCATATTATTAATTTAATTATTCATCCTTTCAGATTCAATAAGGTTAATAAAAGAATCCGTGAAAAGAAACAATTGTTAAATCAATGGAAGACCATGAAAATTATGACCAAAAAGGATGTGGCAAATTACAAACGTGAAATTTTTAAAACAGGAGGTGGACCAAAGCCGCCATCTCCTGATTTAGACACACAGGAGATGATGGAAATGATACCAGAAGAATTCGAAGTTGATTTCAACGAATTCGACTGTGATGGTTTACAACAGGTAATATTTTGTTTATTAGCTTTGCCTTCCTTAGGCAAAATTATTCCTAGGCTTAACAAAGACAAATTTCAAAATAAAATTATCTTAACCTCTCAACTGTTTGGTGAAGATCCTTTGCTAGATCATTTCATAATGTTTTGATTTGTTTAATGGATTATATCAAAGAGTTGCCACAACAATGAACCGATCTAATTAAGGTTGGGGGTCGAGGTCTAGCCATTTTTCTAGTTAAAAACTACATAAAATTGTACATTGCTTTTACTGGTTGTTAATATTCATAATATTACAGGATATAAAATCAGACGATTGTGAGACAAGTATGATGACACCAGTGAGCCAAGTTGTACCAATCATGGTAAGATTAAACAAAATTTAATTCTATTACTTCATTAACTTTTATTTTAACAATATCAACTAAACCAAATCTTTGTTTTAGACTAATTTTGTAACTGGAGACAATGGTGAAATGCCATTCAATGCACAAACTCTACAAGCATCTTCTTGTCTCCCGAATGTAATTGTAATTGAAGAGTCAGTGCCTAGCGGAAGTGACCAGCAAACACCAACAGCGAGTCGCTTAGAAAGTCGTCAGACCCCAAAGTTATCTGCAAAAAAGAAATTGGTAAATATGCATTACATTTTAAATTAAATATCAACAGAATACATTACATTATTAAAAAAATAATATTTTGTTGTTGCAGTTAACAAAAACTTTTAATTTTGGAGAGAGTTCCTATGAAGACATGCATAACTATCGCAAAAGAGATGATGAACGCCTGCAGAAGGAACATGAGCTGCGAATGAAAAACATGGCTGAGATACATAATCAAGTTATGATTAATTTAAAATTACAAAAAGAAATCTTGGAAAAATTTTTAAACACAATATAATAATAAAAGTTGATTTAGTTGGGTTACATTGTTTTATTAGGCCCTTCCCAGTAGTTTTACGCAGGTGGCCATGCATTGTGTTTTAATATTTACCTTAGAAGTGTTCTTCTATAAATGTGGCTCTCACTGCAGCTCCACGGAGAGTATTTCGTTCAATTTGGGCCATATTTGGTTGATCAAGGGGATTGACATCTTCTTGAGGTAGAGGTTCCTCATTCAAATCAATGGCTATATTGTGTAGGATTGCCAGGGCTATTATATATAATTTGGTATTTTCTAGAGGTGTTCTGAATCCTGTTAGTAAACACCTGAACTGATTTTTCCATACACCAAAACAACGTTCAATAGGGTTTCGAGACCTTATGTGAGAATAGTTGTATGATTCTTCTTTACGTGTAGAGGGATTTAGTATTGGTGTAAATAAGTATGGAGTGCATGCATAGCCAGAGTCACCCAATAATCTGCCATAAAAATTCCCATTCTCTAATCTCTGCTTTAATAAGCTTTCGTTAAATATACGTGAGTCATGTGTACTTCCCCGCCAACGTGCAACTATATTTCTAATTTTTAATCTTGCATCACACACTGCCTGAAATAAAATTTCAGTTTATTAATATTATTGGCTATACAGATAAAAATATTCATAATAAAATAAGGAATATTTAGGTAAATTATTGAATTAACAAAATAAAAAAGTTCATTAAGTAACTATTAAGTAAATTAAATGGTCGCATATTATACCTGGACATTCAGAGAACTATATCCTTTGCGATTTATATAGAATTGACCACTGGGGCCTTTCACTTTAGGAATTCTAATGTGGGTGCAGTCTATTGCACCTACAACATTTTTGAATCCTGCTATAGCTTCAAAATCTTCCATCACTTGAAGCTGCTCATTGAAAGTTGTTGGCATATTAATGAACTCTGATTTTTTAGTGCATAATGCCTTAGCTACTCGACGACATATATTAGTTACACACTGCTGAGTTAAACCATGAATATCAGCAGCATCGTCCTGGATCTGTGAGGTACGGACATAATGTTAGGTATTTAGTAGATAGGTACATATTGCAATTAATTAGAAACATAATAGCGTATTGTAGTAGGTAATAATAGTTCTTACCTGATTACGACCCCAATATCGCAAGGCTATCAATATTTGCAAAACAGATGATAGCCCCCCTCCTCGTGCATCTTGGGTAAGAGAGCTACCGATTAATTGGTCTATATACATTACACCTCTTTTAGAAAAACGATATTTCAATCGAAACTGTTCATCATTATACAAATCAAACGGGTTTTCACGTTTCTTATATGTTTTCACTCTTCTTTCTGTTTGCATTAGGTTTAGTAAGACACTCACACGTTCTACTTCTTCAATTGATCTAAATTCCATTTTTAAGGACAATTATATGCAGATAATTAGCTTGAGAAATTCAAACATGCAATGTAAAGTTAGGTTATACCAGAGTTAAACTAGGGTGCTGGACGATTTAACTCTGGAATAAATGTTCTATGGAAGATATACCGAAGTTATACTAAGTATAACCTATTCCTAGTTCATTTGTAGACATTTTGCTTATTCTTAATTTACTCCGAGGAATAAATGTTATACTTCGTTTATTTGTGAGGCTGATAGAGTATAAGAAAGGTCAAATGATATTAGTAAAAAACGAAACAGCTGGAAAGCTAGACACTAAGTATGATGGTCCATATATAGTTTTGGAAGATTTAGGTGTAAACGTAAAAATTTCAAAAAAAAAATTGTGATGTCATTATACATAAGAATAGGACAAAATTATATGTCCAGTAAATGTAAAAAAGATATTTAACCATTTTTTTTTTCTTTCTTTTTCACCCCGGAGGTGAAGTGTGTATACTTACTTATTACATAATATCTTCAATTCTACATATATACTTCTCTCTATGTTACTTTGTAAAATCATTTGATTAGTATTAAACCTACATCTATTCTGAACGGTTGTTTGATTTCTCTTTGTCCCAAAAAAAATAAGTATTAGTAATCCTATAACTTTTAGTGTGTGGGCTACACCAGGAATCTACAAAAGCAGAAAAAGGCTCTATGAACTATATGATGAACGTAATTATAACACAAGTGAGGACTTCAAAGAATATGTACGAAATTACTCTAAATTATTTAAAAAAGTGTGTCGTTTAGCCAAATGTAATTATTTAAATGCAAAAATTGAAAATAGTAAAGACAAAGTTAAAATGACGTGGAATATCATAAATAGTGAAACTGGAAGAGAAAAATCCCGGAATATAAATTTTAATTTAAACATTGATAATAAAAAAGTAACGTCAGATCTTGAAGTTGCTACAGTATTTGAAAATTTATTTACTGAAATTCCAGTCTTAATTACACAATCTTTGAATTCCTCTTCCACTGTTGCTGAATCTATTTTAAAGGCAAGTTTAAATAATTCTAATAGCCAATTTAAGTTTCAACACATTGATTTTAAAGATATAATAAAATCTTTTAATCAGCTAAAGAAAACGAAAACTGCTGATTTATGGGGTAATTTCATTGAAGTTTCTAAATCGGTAATTGAGACAATAGCTTCAATCTTAGCTTATATATTTAATGAATGTACTGATTGTGGTATTTTTCCTGAGCTCATGAAATATAGTAAAATTATTCCTTTACATAAATCGGGTAGCACATCTGACCCTACTAACTTTAGACCTATATCCGTGCTACCTACGTTTAGTAAGATTTTTGAAAAAATCATGCTGGATCAAATACAAACGTACTTTTACAAGAATAAGCTTATGAATCGACAACAATTTGGTTTTACAAGGGGTCGCTCGACAACCGAAGCCGGTGTCGAGTTAATACAAGAAATTTTTAATGCCTGGGAGGATTCACATGATGCGTTAGGTGTTTTCTGTGACCTATCTAAGGCATTTGATTGTGTTTTTCATGAAACATTGATTAGGAAACTGCATTTTTATGGATTTAGAGATAACTCATTGGATTTTATTGTCTCATACTTGACTGACAGAGTACAGAGGGTTGATATCAATGGCAAAAGATCCCCTGGATCGAAAATTAAGATGGGCGTTCCGCAGGGCTCAATACTTGGTCCTTTCTTGTTTTTGATTTACATAAATGACTTGCCTTATTTCGTAAGGGATGATCACGAAATAGTTTTGTTTACGGATGACACTTCACTCTTGTTTAAAATTAAAAGAGGGTTACCTCTAAATGACGATGTGAACAATTCTATCGCTAAAGTAGTACATTGGTTTAATGTAAATAATCTTCTCCTTAATGAAGGAAAAACAAAATGCTTAAAATTTGTACTACCTAATGTTAAAAAAGTAGATATAAATGTTAATGTAAAAGATAAGAACATGGGCCTTGTGGATACCACAGTATTTTTAGGAATAACATTAGATTCTAAACTACAGTGGGGCCCACATATTGATAAATTGTCGAGTAGACTTAGCTCTGCAGCATATGCCGTAATGAAGATACGTAGGTTAACTGACATAGATACTGCCAGATTAGTATACTTCAGTTACTTACATAGTGTTATGTCGTACGGTATCCTATTGTGGGGAAATGCTGCCGACATACAAACAATTTTTGTGCTTCAGAAAAGAGCAATTCGATCAATTTATAATCTTAGGATTAGGGACTCTTTAAGGGAGAAATTTAAGGAAATAGACATTATGACTGTTGCTTCTCAATACATATACGAGAACTTAATGTACGTTCGTAAAAATATTAGTTTGTTTTCTATAAAAAGTGATGTACACAATTTTAATACAAGAAATAAAAATAAATTAACGGTGCCTGTCACTAGACTGCAAAAAGTTAATAACTCTTTCAAGGGTCTTTGTGTGCGCTTCTACAATAAGGTCCCAAGCAAAATACAACAATTAGATATCATGCAGTTTAAATCTACTATTAAAAAAATACTTATTAAAAAAGCTTATTATAAGGTATCCGATTATATAACAGATAAGAACGCTTGGACTTGAGATGATCCAGCAACTGGATAGGTGATTACTTCTAAACTCATTATCTTGTTTCCATTATTATTAAATGATTATGTTATTATTATAAGACCATTGTTTTTTTTATCTCTGTTTATAATGTATTGATCTGGTAATGACATGGTTTTTGTAAATGTCATTACTCATATTAGAGCTGGTGAGTTTCTTGCTCGTTCTTCTTATCAGCCAAAAGACGTCCTGAACGAGTGGTAGGGAAAAAATGTTGGACGATTCAAAAGTACTTTTAAGAAGTCTATTTGAATAAAGATTATTTTGACTTTGACTTTGACTTTGACTTCAATTTATTGGAGGAGAGTAGAAGAAACCAAATGCATGTCAGTGCATCTTTTGGTAAGAAAATGTTTTTCATTATGTTGATGCAATTATTGCGATTTATAGGAAATTCAATTCTTCATACTTTTCTACTTTCAGATGATACTATCCATCTAAATGGAAACAAATTAAGTGTTTTCTATGATCCACCCCATTTGATCAAAGGGATCAGAAATAACTGGTTTAACAAAGATATGTTATTTGAAGGAAAAACGGCCAAATTGCAAGATTTAGTGGATGTATACATTGCTGATTGTAAACATGGAGAATCTAGGATATTGCACAAGCTAACAGACCAACATTTTATTCCAGAAAAAAAATTAAAAAATGAAGGTAAACATAAAAATTTAATTAAACTAATCTATGTATCTGTCATGACCAGATCGTAGAAAATGATAATTTCATGAAATGGTAGGTTTGCATGAAATGGCCACCTGATATTAATCAGTATATTTATGGATCACCAAGATGTGTGTACGAACATAACTTTAGAATGACTGCACCAAAATAGATAATAATTTTTTAGTTAAAATAAAAACATGACATAGAAATTTATTTTATTAAAATGCGTAATTTTATAATAACTATGTTTTATAAAAACTGATAGTTAAACAATTATTAAATTTATTACATTTTTATTAATTTTGCATTCACAATGCCATACTTAAAATTATTCTTAATACAAAATGCTTAAAAAATCCACTTGGTCCCTGGCACCCTGAGATGGGAATCGAACCAACGACCTTTCGCAATCCGGGCAACTGCTCTAACCACTGAGCTACCCAGGACCTAACAGGACTGACGAATCTTTCAAGCACTTGTAACTTTTCGCTACTACAGAGCGTATTCTCATCAATGTTCAGGCATCCACCCAAACAGCCGAAAGAAATATTGTTACAAATATTGAACTTCCGATAAAGATGAGAATTTTGTTCTAATTATTATATTTCATTAATTTTGAATTCACAATGCCACACTGAAAATTATTCTTAATACAAACCTAAGTTTCAAGAGACACACTTGACTTCAAGGTTGGTTGACCTTTAAGTCCCAAGGTTCAATTCTCAGATCCCAGCCCAGGGTTCAATTCTCGGTCGGGTCACTGTAGAAAATGGACTTTTCTATTTTGTCTCGTGTCTGTACATTGTGATACCTCGTGATACCTCCTTTCTCTCAGGTACTCCATCCATAATATGGAGCAGTGTATGTGATGTTGTCTCATATTTATTTATCTTAAACTAATCTAAATTTTTAATGATTCTAAGACTATTGAATAACTTTCCTCCGACTTGCCAATTATGTTATCTTTCAAAATAACCCTTTGGAACACATGAATCAATGGCTGATATAAAAAGAAAAAAATAAGTCAAAATTTATTAGCCATTGTGAATTTTATATATAATAAATACCCTATAACAGCAAGCATTCATAGAAAAACTATTTTTTATTTTCAGAATCATTTACAGATGGGAAAGCAGTAACCAAAACTTTAACGAATACTGTAGAAGCAGTTTCTTTTTTTGACGACGTTTTCGACAGCGTTAATGGAGCAAGCACAATAAAGAAGCAGAAAAAAGGAAAACCACTAACGCAAGTGCTGTTGGTGAAAAACTCCACACCATGAGTTCTGATGCAAAGATATAAAAACCTTACAAAATATAAATTTGGTCACGAAACAAAAAGTAGAGAAAAGTGTACCATCGTTAAAAAATTGGGTCGTTACTCTTAAAAGTCTCCAAGGAGAGTGTGGGGATCCTTGAAAAAACAAAATATAAAAGTTTTGAGACCCAGATATTTTGATTCGGATCCCCTGGAAAACTTTTTTGGGCATATAATTAAAGGTGTAACGCTTTTATAAACACCTTTAAATCTTTATTGATTACTAGGTTCATACATTTTCATACTGAAAATTTTAATTGAAGACGAGTAAACGCAATGTTTACAGTAGGAAGCCATGATTTGATTAATGGAAAGCAACGTTTTACCTATGATGGAAGAACTTCACAGAAACGGCACTGGAAGATATTGTTTTATAATTATGAAAATACTGTTTTATTACTGTTAGTGTATCTACATTAAATTAAATAATCTTAATATTTATCTTAAAATACTATACCTAAGGTATCTTTATAGTTGACTAAAGAACTGAGAGCAAAAATACCCATGTTTATCTTTTAATTTTTTAGGTGACAATAGGTATGGTCTGTCAATTGCAGAACCACAATCAGCTGCAAAAGAAAACTAGAATGTAGCATTTAAAAGTGCTCGGACCACAATCGTAAGATGTAATGGGGTGTTAAAATCACGTTTTAGATGCCTGTTTAAGGATAGAGTGCTTCACTACTTACCTGAAAAGGCCAGTAAAATTATTAACAGTTGTTGCACACTCCACAATATGTGCTCACATCACCATATTGAAATGGATGAAGAAAATGACATTAGCGAACCAGTTTGGAATAATTCAAAATGCACAATCTCAAGAGCGCCGTAACGCAGATCTTATGAGTGATCTCATTAGATCTGCGTATCTAAATGAAGCCACTTAAACTAAATTTGTAAAACAAATGTCTTATTCTAAAAGAATGCTACATGGTTATCTTTCAATTGCCATGTATTGTTCACGATTCAACGAAAAAGAAAAAATATAATTGGGAAGAAAGGTTGAAGCAAAAGAGGATTGCAGATAACAACAAACTTATACAAAAAAGGAACAAAATTAACATTCAAAATTATTATAAAAAAAAGAGAAGGAATTGAACAAAATTACAGGAAAATGAGGATGGTGTTAATAGAGAAATATTATCTTCCACACTGATTCGATCCGAAAGCCCTTTAACATGCTCATCATCTCAAGCAAAGTCACATGTTACTAGTCTACATGTCAATAAACAGGTTCCACAATGTTCTATAAGAAATTGTGCTTGCAAGAAAACTATGACGACAGCGTCGAAGAGACACAAGAAGAGCTACAAAATATTTTTTCAATTCAGCAAACAAGTAGTCCACTTTCTTGCACATCACCCGTTCCACTTGTATCTCCGAGTGTAAGTAGTATAAATTCTCCTGTTTCAATCACTGCAGCAAATAGTCCCAAATCTGATGTGTCCATTACTTCTAAAATATTCAACAAAGAATTAAATAAGCAATTAAATAAATATCAGAAAAAAAAGGTCGGCAGAAACTTCAATGTAAAAAAAGGTTATTTTAAAAATAAAAGGAACTATAAAGAAAGAGATTAGAGAGACAAGAACAGGTGCTTAAAATTATCCCAAAAATGATAACCCCTCTATTGGTGACGTACCGTGGTGACAGCAGTTCAAGTAGTACGAATATCGTTACCGTAACAGTGTTAGAACTCCGAGACACAATATTGTAGAAGTTCAAAAAAATAACAGAACACGTGATTGCACTTATAATGTAGACTTTTGGAATATTTTACTTGAGTCGTATAGAACCAAAGGCAACAATCTGACGTTTTGGTCGTTAGAAATAATTTAAAAAGTGGTATTTTACATAAGAACTTGGGAAGAAATGCTATATTTGCGAAAGAGCAAGAAAAAGATTTTGTGAGCAATTTGCTGAAACAGGAATACCTCTTACACCAAAAATTATTCGAATTCAAGTATTTGCTTTTTGTGACAAATGAGTCGTATAGAACCAAAGGCAGCAATCTGACGTTTTGGTCAATTTTGACTTATGGTAGTGGCAACACTGGAAATCTTGAATAAATTTATTTCAACGACTCTCTCAGAATCAGAAACGGCTTTCTACTATAATTACGACTGTTTATAAATTTTCCTTCGTACCAAATCCGGCAATCTGCTAATACTTAAAAGCAAAGATGGCAATATTGTGCTCTAAACCAATAGGAAGCTTTCGATTTACCACGAGATAACATGGCGGATCTAAGTAAAGTTTGTTAATTTGCTGTGTCTTTCAAAATAAATTATAGGTGTCTCAACCATTGCACTTACTTTAATTTATAAACAAAGTGAAGATGGAGAGTTATCCAATAACTGTAACTAATAGATACGCAAGAAAGCGGCAACGAAACCCAGAGAATTGGAAGAAGAATGTAACGAAAAAATTAAGGTTAGTTTCAATCTAGGGTTGTCAAATTTCACATCCACCAACATAAAACAAAAAACGAAATTACATTGAGACATTTGCGAATGGGGAGTATATGGGTGCAATGGGCCACAAACAACACATTGAAGAATGGGAATAGTTGAGGGCTTATCTCAGCGAGTTAGGCCCTGACAAAAGTCTAGAGCAGTGGCGAACTGTAAGTACTATTCATTTTTTAATAACAGAACAGAATATGAATAATATTTTTGAAATGCTTTTCTATATTTATTTTTAAAACTTGGCGTGATATGAAAAAGAGGGCACGTGACGAAGGTGGGCGTGTTCGACTAGCCCGATCACAAACAGGGAACAGTGCTGTGATCCCTGAACTTTCATCGACGACCTCTAAGGTCTTAGAAGTTATGGGCAAAGAGTGCTCCCTACGGATTGACCTTGAAGAAACTGGCATTGAGGAGGTATAAGTTAGTAATCGTTATTTAATGTAATTTATTAGTATTATCATGAATATATGATACATTTTTTGCCTTTGCATCATACCATTTTATTTACTACACCCATTTAATTTTTAGGTTGACACAGTTGAACCGTCAGACACATCACAATCAGAACACACATCATCTCATGTACCTTTTACATTAGCACCAACTTTCCTCACACAATCCCTTACCACATCTTTCCCACCTACACAGTCTGGTCAACTGACATATACAGTGACTTCACACAGACCGACCCTTACCACATCTCGCCAACCTACATCACAGTCATTGCTTTTATCAACAAATCTACTTAATCCACAAGTTACTGTAAATCATTCACTCAACTTACATATACACAACTTCAGACAAACCATCTATTACCACATCTTTACCTACAGCACAGTTACCACCTACCCACACACCAATCCACTCATCACAATTTGTAACACCAACACAAGCCAGTGACAGTACTACATCAGTCCAGCCTAATAGAACAACAATAGCTAGAGATGCTCCTACATTAGCCCAGTCCAACTCACAAACAACAAGACCAACTCGAGCTAGAGATGGTCCCACATTAGTCCAGCCCAATATACCAATAACAAGACCAACTCGAGCTCGAGATGGTCCTACATTAAAAGATATTATCAGTTCTGATGGTGAAACAAGACTAGTCCTATCAGTAAGTATGAATTTATTTAATAAAAAAATACTGTTCCTAGTTTAATACAATGTGATAGCTATACATATTGAAATGGACAAAAAAACAATTAACAATGAAAAATTTGTCATGTCTTCATCAATCATGAAGTTCAATTTTCTTTTTTAGGAGATGAGAAATGAATTAAAAATAAGAAATATTATTTTTAATTCATTTCTTATATAAAAAAATCGTCGCCTGCACCGAGAAAGGTAACTTAATCTTTATTTCACTTTTATCTTGACTGAACGATAAATAATCAATCTTTAATTTTATTACGAAAAATAGGTCGACACAATTTCGTCTCTTTTAGTATTTGCTAGCTCCAGCATCCTCATATTTGAAACTGAATTATTTTCAGTGATGGCATTGATCTCATTGTCCTCTATCTCTATTGATTGCATAGGATATCTGAAAAGGATATTTAAGGAATTTCTTGTAATGTTATTTAATGTATGGAAGATGATGAATGGTTGATTAAAGATTATTACCTAAAGTGCTTCAGAATATTGTACAAAGTACAGCAGACATATATAATTTCGGATGCCTTTTTTGGGGCATAGTGGAGGTTCCTGTCAATACCAAGGGATCTAAAAATGCCTTTTAAATACCCATTTAGTCTCTCTACGACATCGCGGGTTCTACAGTGCCACTCTGTATACCGCCACTCTGCAGCAATATTCGTATGTCGAATAGGTGTCATAATCCAAGGTTCGAGGGCATAACCAGAGTCACCTAAAACAAATCATTTCTGTTACAGGTTGCGAGCATCCAGATATAGTTTTAAATTTTAAGCTCTGTATGATAATTAGATTTGGAATTTATTAAAATAATTATTTAAAGTCTGTTATTGCCTATTATCTCAGTTTTGTGATGATTATTATTTTAAGTGTTATGTTATTAGATTCAAAGTTTGTTATAATAACTTAGTATCTCAGATTTGTGATTATTATTACTTAAGTGTTATATGTTGATTATTAGATTTAATGTTGCTTATTATCTCAAATTTACAATATTTTTACTTGAGTTTTATTTGTTGATTATAACATAACTGGAAAGAGTAACTTGTTAATAAATATAACAATAATATGATTTTTGATAACATATTTAGTAAACTGAATATATTTCATAATACTGTCAGTGCTGTTTTTTTGTGTACAGTCCACGGCACGTCAGGTTCTATAAAACTCATATTTCAATTGATTTTCTTTCCATTACAAAAAACATTTAGTAGTAAGTGTGTTCAAATTTGTAGCAGAATAGACAAAACTGTTAAACAATAATTTTAGTAAAACATGCACTTTAACTGGCTCCAAGATATTTTATTTATTTATATTGAGTTGTGAATATTTGACATATTGTGGTAATCTGGTCTGCAGCTGTGTGGACATAAACCTTACCCAATAAATAATACTGCCCAATTCTTGAATTGAACAATCTTTGAAGTTCAGTCTTGATAACTGAATGGTTGAAAATAAATCGGTCATGCACTCGTCCTGGATAGTTCGCATTACAATTTAGTATGCGACAATCAGCATCTGCAATATAGAAAATTATAAACAGAAATTGTCTAAAGATTTTATTGCTTATTCTTATCATATCAACAGTTTCAGTGAGTTTAGAAGTTGCATGCTTATGACAACTAGCTTTCTGCTAAGAGCTTCACTTGCATGGTTCCGTATTATATATATAAATCTTCCTCTAAAATTTCACTGCATATTGATGAAAACTGCATTACAATCTGTTGAGTAGTTTAAAAGATCCCAGTGGACAGACAGCAGAATGTGACTGTTATATATAATAGATATGTATGATTATTGATAAAAAATTATACTACCAATTGGACATTAATTGAGCTGTATCCATGTCTATTAAGATATTGGGCATTCAAGGGTTTTTTTGGAGGGAATATACCAATATGTGTACAATCGATTGCCCCCAGTATATTTGGTACTCCAAATTTATTTTCAAAATTATTTGAGATCTACCTTCTATTATTTTCTGTTCCTGGAAACTTTATCCACTTTGGTTTAAGCCTGAAATATTTTTTTTAATAATTATTAACTTTTTTTTTATTAATTAGTGTAGATTTCAACTTTTGTCTTAGTTGAAATCTACAATAATAAACTAACTTTATAATATATAGGAAAATTTGTCTGTTTGCATGAAATAGGCTCTGAAACTACTAAACTTATTGGGATTGATAAGCTACATCATAAGCCGGTAAAAAAAGCTAGTTAATATATATAATTATGTACTTACTTCCGATTTACAGCACCAACAAATTGATTTAAAAATTTACTGACCGTTGTTTGCCCAAGGCTTAAATTTTGGTTTTTGCCAATACCACGTTGGTAGTGGCCATTAATAAGTACCTTCAGTGAAGCTAAAACCTGAAACAATTATCAGTTAGAAACTCATGTAATACTGTTAAATATGTTAAATGTTTATACTAGTCCATTTAAACTCTTGTATATCTTTATCGTTTTAAAGACTAAAATTATAACAATTTACCTTAATAAGGACAGGTAGACCATCAGCTGTACAAGGAGCTAGATCTTCTTCCAACTCTTCACACAAGTAATGTACCATGTCCTTACCAATTTTAAAATTTTCAAGGAACTCCTCCTCTGGCATCTCCATGGCTTTAGATAATTCGCGTACAGACGCTCTTTGCCGTTTGCGTCGCAACTTTTCCTCATAGTGTATTAAATAAACTCGGGCATCATTCATTTTTAATAGAATAGAACACGAAGTGTGCTAATGCTTATTCTGTGTCCGTGAATAAAACTTATATTTGTTTATTAGTGACTTATATGCGCAATGCTTATATGACTTAAATATCAAGTGAATTACTTAAATTGTATAATTTGTTTACATGTAAAATTAAAATGTAACTAGTAAAAAATAGCGATGAACTCCCCGACACGCGTTCTCGACTACTATAGGAGTAGTAGACAAATATCTCAGTTTCAAATGTCAAATTAAATGTCAAAAGAAGAGAGAAGTGGTCGTCGTGCTCGCGACAATAGACCTTTGTCTACTCTTGACATTACATTACGACTATGAATTCTTCTCGAGTTCATCGTGCTCACATCGACAATATCTCATTCTCGACCCGAGAAAACTGACATTAGGATGTAGACAAAACGTTTCTCGAGTTTGTCATGCTACGCGTGCTGTTGTCATCCTGTGACAAAGATGGTGTCGTCAAATCTAGCTCCGGAAAACCAGATATGATTGAAATTTACAATCAAACAAAGGGCGGTGTAGATTCGTTTGACCAAATGTGTACGCAGATGTCATGCCGTAGAGAAACTAATAGGTGGCCTATGGCATGCTGAATATGGCGTATGTCAACAGCTGTGTTATTTAATGCCATAACATACAATCTCAAAATGAAAAGCCATTAAATAGACGGGCATTTATGAAACAGTTGAGCACAGACTTAGCAAAACCATGGATGGAGAAAAGACTTGAAATTCCAAATCTAAGCAGAAAAATTCGAAATATAAGTAAGAATATTCAAAATATTTTACCAAATCCTCCTGCAAGAAACGTAGAACCAAGTGAGGATGAACCTCCAGCTAAGAAACGAAAATACGGCGCCTTCTGTCCGTGGAAACTTAGAAGGAAGACACAGGCAGAGTGCAACAAATGCAAAAAACCTGTCTGTGGAGAGCGTAAGATTTTGACTTGCTCAGACTGCAAGTAGTTCCTATTTTTGAGTCTGAATTACTCAATATTTCTATTTTTTTATGTCTTCTGTTTATTTTATATCTAAGAATAAGTATAATTTGTTACTAGATTAGTAATTGTTACCTTAAAAAAGAAGAGATACTCAATTTATGTTTAATTTTCAACGAATTCTTAATTTTGTTTGTTTTCAAGTATAATAATAAAAAAAAACTAGTATTAGATATTGTTAATTAAAAACATTAAAACTACATTAAAATATTAAAAACAGTTGTGTTAACTGTTGTCGTGTACAGATTAGTGGAATTGACCTCACGTTATGCTATTAGGGTTATCTGGACACGTTATGTATCTAGGGCTAATAGAAAGTTAGAAGAAATAAGGCATAAATACGAGTCTAAAGAAGAAAACAGACCTGAATTAAAAGACATTGATATTTTAGAATTACGTACATTAAATGGATGCTTGTTATTTACGGAATTTTTAAAAGTAACAAAGAAGATATTTGGTCTTTGTTTGTGACAAATGAGAAAGGTAGAGAAATATTTCGGTGTGTATTTTCGCAAAAGCGTTTTCTTTTATTATTGTCAGCTTTGCGTTTCGATGATCCCAATACCAGAGAAGATAGAAAGAAGACAGATCAAGCTACACATATTTCTGAGCTGTATTATACTCCAGGTTCATATTTGTGCATTGATTAAATGCTTCTTAGATGCCGCTGTCGCTGTAAATTTCTATTGTATATGCCAAAAAACCGGGCAAATATGGTATAAAGGTTATATGCATGACAGATGCTTCAACAAAATATCTATATAATGCTTATATATACTGTGGAAAAGATACTGATGGACAAGGATTGGCCGATGAAGAAAAAGAGTTTTCAAAAACAACACAGAGTATTTTACGCCTATTAAAACCAATTCAAAATACCAACAGAAATATAACCGGAGACAATTGGTTTACATCAATTGAAGCAGTAGATCTTTTGAAGAAAAATGGTCTCACTTATGTAGGTACTAATAAAATCAAAAGAGAAATCCCTTTAGAATTCTTGCCTAAAGGATCGAGACCTGTTGGAGAAACTCTTCATGGCTTTATTACGGAAATCACTATGATTTCATATGTTCCAAAGCGTAACGGAGCAGTCGTTCTTTTATCCTCTATGCATCATGATAGATGTAACGATTAAGAAGATGAAAATCCAGAAATCTTTCAACTTATTCAAATTCATAAGCGATGACATTACACCTGAAGTCATGACGAGAAATCTGCATGACAGTGATTCGGAATCTCTCAACGAGTCTTGTCAAACTGAGCAATCTAACATCGCTGACGTGATGAGTCCAGATACATCAACCTGTAGTCGCACAAACGCGTCAAGGTGCAACAAATCGGCATCAGATTATAGAGATAGAGAGATGTGAAAGAAAAAAATACGCTAATTGAACAGAAAATGGTATCAAATTGTGACCAGTCGGAGAAATGTAATGATTATCATTTTTTAATGAGTCTCCTGCCACAAATGAAAAATTTGGTGAATTACAAAAGTTACTTATTCGAAATAAAATTACCCAATTACGTCTATTATAGACGAGAAAAATTATGAAGGGTAATCTACTGGCAACTACCCTAATTATGAATTTGATCATCACTTCTTTTTACTTACCTAATTGTTTGATAACATTTATGATAATTTTAAAGTTATCGCCTTTTTATTCAATAAAGGAATTCTATTAAATCAACGTTATTTATTTTTCGTACAAAATTTTCACACCATTAAGCGGAACAGAATAGCAAGAGAGAGACAGGACATAATGTTGGTACTCTGAATTATTAAAAGTAAAGTTACACTTACACAGCCAGTGAAATTTTAATTATTCTTTTTATTTAATAGAAAACAACAAACTTTTAGGAACATTTTCTTTTATTCTTATGAACAATTTCTTCTCAGGTCTAATACATTTGCGGAAGTTAGTACGAGTATCTTAATCAGTGATTTTATGTGATACTTTACTTAGTATATAGTCAAATGTTGAAAAAGGTATTCGAGTGTACTTAAAGAATTTTGTAGGGTATAATCTCAATTATTCATATTAGTAAAAAAGTAAATCACCAGTTATTCCTCTGTTTTTAATTATTTCGTGCACACCATCTCTAGTTTTAACCCCTCCCATCTCACTGTCTAGTAAAATAGCAAATCTTCATTCATAAAGTTACATAAAATTATAAATTCATGTTGGAATAATGATTTTAGATGAGACTGTTTATGCAGATATGATATCATATTTATTAGACATAACCTAGTAGTTGCAGTAGTAGTATACACAGATTATTTAAAAGCGTTCGACAACATTAACCATGATTTATTATTTATTATTAATAAACTTTTTATCATCGGCATTCACGGTCCACTCTTCAGATGGATAGAATCTTTTATACGTAACCAAAGTCAGGCTGTCTGCTTAAAAGGCATATATTCAAATTTCTTACCAGTTCCCCCAGGCATAGCTCAAGGTTCGCAATGGCCCTTTGTTGTTTACGCTTTATGTGAACGACTTGGAAAATTACTTGAGTGACAGTTCTGTTCTTATGTATACAGAAAACACTAAATTGTGCCGTATCATAAATCCACTGACGATTGCTTTAGGTTCCAATATGATCTTGAAAAATTGTGTAACTATTGTAACAATAATCAACTGTACTTGAATATAGACAAATGAAACGTTATCACATATATACGAATGGTAAATCCTATTTCTTATTGTTATATCATAGAGGATAAAATCGTCAATAGAGTAAGTGTCGTTCAAGATTTAGGTATAGGGTTATGTGCTTTACCTGTGGACTTTTGCCGAAATTAGAAACAAAAATATTGTTTAGAAAAATCTGTTTATTTTTAGTATACATTATCATAATTTTCGGCTTAGTTACTAATTAACTCTTAATAATTAACAGTCTTAGTTAGGAAAAATGTATTCGTTTCTGAGAAATTAACATGTATTAAAAAAGTCCCATTTTGTCCACAGGTACAAACGTGTATTGTACCTATAGACAACACTGAAAGTTCCTATGGACGGTAGTGTACCTATGGACAAACTATATAAATTACAATATATTATATACTATAAACTTCAATATAAAATCCAATATTAAGAGACATAACAATATAAGAAATTCGGTTTTTCAATATCACAATACTGACTGAGTGTTAAATCCTTAGAAAAAAACAATAAGAAATAAAGACTAGTCATGAGACATAATAAAATTAGTAATTTTGTTTTTAACATTAAGATACTCAGCGTATAACTCTTTGGCACAATCACTGCTACCATCAGAATCTATGTCGTCGTTAGATGATTCATCGTCTATTTTATAGCATCTCATACAAACAAAATCGCACTCATCTCCGGAGTCATAATTGTCCTTTTTGGTAGAGATTTTGGTACACATTTGGTATGATCTCGCACATAGAACAGGTGAGCATTTTTTTCTTATCTTCGAATTTCCTACATCCCACACACATGTACTCTTCTTGAAGTATGATAATATTTTTACCGGTCGCTAAACTTCTTGAGCTAGGTCCAGGCCTTTCAGTGTTTGAGGGTTTTTCATTGAATTTTTCTTTTTTCTTTCTTCTGATTTTCGTTTCTTTTCTATCTTTACAAGTGTTTCTTTATGGATAGCAGTTTTTTCAGGTGTATCCGTGAGTATTCTTGTTTTTCCAGGTTTCCTGCCACGTCTACAAGACTTTCTTGGTGCTGCTTTTGGAAAAGGTCGTATGGATTCCAATGTTGATGACACAGTCATTGGAAATTCATGATTTTCATTCGGGAATGCGGCAATAGATTTATTAATTCCATTTTCAGGGCCATCACTTTTTAAACCAATATCAGAAGTTGCAATGTCTAATTTTATTTGTTTTTCATTTTATTTGACAAATATTTCAAAATAGAGGAGGTGTAAAATGGAGTAAAAAATTTAAATTTCTAAGTGTTGAGAGCCCTATAACGCGCATGCGCATTATCGATTGTGCGCAG